CATTGTCAAAGCCCAGCTATACCTGCCCAGAAACGGCAGAACACCATCTCAAGGCCAGTGGTGGCAGCTGCGGCAACAGGTTGAGCCTCTGATCCTGCCAGACTGAAGGTGCCCTGGAGAGAACACTCATCCCTCCTCTGCCCGGATGGTCCAGCAACCTGACGAGGCTGACCAGCCAGCCAGTTGGATTTGTCTGGGATAGTTTCTTCATGGCGTCCCCCACTACCTACCCATCCACTCAAAACCACCAGGGACGAGCCCATCTGTGACCAGCCTACCTGTGACAAGGCCCGGTTTACTGTCCTCGTTCCTCCCCACCTAGCGGGAATCAGGGCCCCTCTCAGGGTCTCTACCCTATTCCACAGTCCAGGCTGCGGCATGCCTTGAGGCTCCCATTATACAAATTGGAAAGGAAATTTAAGGATTTGCATAAGGTCCCCAACAGGTGAAGACTGCCCCCCAAACAACTGGACTTTCAGTTCTCCCACCCTGCTTCCTTTAACCTGCTGAGCTGGCCCAACACCTCGGGCACCGCCGGCCACTGGGCACAGGCAGGAGGCCCCAGTGGCTGGGTCGGGAGCCCAAGTGAGGGGCCAGGTGGCGCGAACCAGACGCAGCCAACGGGCCGGCACCTTCGCGCGCCCCCCACCCCCAGCGTTGGTTCAAAGGGTCAGGCCCCACCCACTCTAGGCCCCCAGCCCGCTTTGATGTGCTGATGCGGCCTGGAAGGGGCCACTTCACACCTCTGGCTCAGGATAAAGCGGCCGCCGGTCGCCGGCCCCGAGACGCGCCGCCTCGGCCATGGCCCAGTCGCTGTGCCCGCCGCTCTCCGAGTCCTGGATTCTCTCCGCGGGCTGGGACCCAGCTCTGCAGCCGCCCTCTGACAAGAACTGTGGCTGCTCCCCCGCCTCATCCCCGGACTCCTGGGGCAGCGCCTCGGCCAGCAGCCCTCTACGGAGTCCCCCGCGGCCCGCCGCGCGCCCAGCTCACCGCGCCCCGACAGCAGGGAGGCGCGGCGCCCGCTGCAGCCGCCTGGGCAGCGGGCAGCGACAGAGCGCTAGCGAGCGCGAGAAGCTACGCATGCGCACGCTCGCACGCGCCCTGCTCGAGCTGCGCCGCTTTCTGCCGCCGTCCGTGGCTCCCGCAGGCCAGAGCCTGACCAAGATCGAGACGCTGCGCCTGGCCATCCGCTACATCGGCCACCTGTCGGCCGTGCTGGGCCTCAGCGAGGAGACCCTGCAGCGCCGACGTCGGCGGCTCAGCGACGCGGCGCCTCCTCAGGGCTGCCCGCTCTGCCCCGACGGCGGCCTCGCGCAGGCGCAGGGCCTGGGCTCCTCTGCTGACGCCGCGGCGCCCTGGGGGTCCCCGCCCGCCTGCCTCGGAGCCCTGGCAGCACCCGAGCGCCTAGAGACCCGGGTCCCTGACACGAATCCCTGGGTGACACCCTCTTACTACCCCAGGATGCAGTCGTCCCCACATCTGTCCCGAGGGAGAGACCCTGAGTCTGCTCTTTGGATGTCGCTGCAAAACTGTCCTGGGACGCAGACATCCCCCCAGCCTGGGAACCCGGCCGTTCCCTGGACGCCGCCCCCCGCACCTCCAGAGTTGGCTTCTGTGTACCAGGTATGGGCAGAAGCCCTCACCCCTTCCCTCGGGGCGGTCCCGAGGGAAGTAATCTCTAGTCTTCAGATAGTCTTGTGGTTTTTAAATCCCGGGTTATCTGATCCAGTCCTGGTTAGTGGTGGAGGGAAGTTGCGGGGAGGATGGAAGGGCCCCTAACCTCTTTGGGGAAGAGATGGCACCGTGGGGAGTTAAGCCATCACCACCACCACCACCACCATCCAGCAGTCTTCACATCTGGAAGAGGAGGGAGTCCTCCGCTTGCTACAGAGGCCAGGGTGGAAGGTAGCAGGGGCCACTGTCAGGAAATAGGCTCTAAATGCTCTATTAAGAGTTGAGGGAGAAGGGGACAGCATTTCCTGATGATCAGGTGGGTTTCGAACTGGTGACCTTCGTGTTTCCTCCAAGCTTCATTGATTCATGAGGTCCCTATTTCCATAAAGATCAGATTAATAGCCAACATTCGTTGAACAGTTACTATGTGCCTGACACCATTCTTGCACTTTACAGTTCTCCCAACAGCTTTATGAAGTAGATACTGTTACCATTATCACCATTATACAGATGAAGATTTGTTGTTGTTAGTTACCTTTGAGTCGGCCCCTGACTCATGGCAACCTGTGCAACACAGAACAAAACATCGCCCGGTCCTGTGCCATCCCCGTGATGGTTGCTGATTGGACTGTCGTGATCCATAGGGTTTTCACTGGCTGATTTTCGGAAGCAGATTGCCAGACCTTTCTTCCCAGTCCATCTTAGTCTGGAAGCTCCACTGAAACCTGTTCAGCATCATAGCAACACACAAGTCTCCACCGACAAAGGGGTGGTAGCTATGAATACTGAGACTAAAAAAGGTTACCTGAGGCCTCATAGCTAGTTAGCAGCTGGGGTTTGCACCCAGACAGTGTGGTGCCAGAGCTTGTGCTCTGAACCACTGTGCTTCACTGCATTCACGATACCAGGGCTGTCCAGAAACTGCAGCCACGCCGGCGGCACATCCCGGCTCAGGATTCCAGCATGAACAGTAGCCCACTAACCAGGTGTTCTTATCTCTCTTGCAGGGTGTCTCCGTGTCTCCAGAGGCCCGTCTGCTGCTGGGGACCGCACCTCTCCTGCCCCACCCACCGTGCCAGAGGCTCCAGTCTCAGACCCAGTGGGGATGCTGGAGCCATAGTGCAGAGGTGCTCCCTAGCTCTGAGGAGCAGGCACCAGGCCCCACCTTCCAGCTCAGTGAAGCAAGCCCTCCTCAGAGCTCAGGCCTGCAGCTCAGTGACTGCCCTGAACTTTGGCAAGACGATTTGGAGGGGGCCCACCTGGGCATCTACTAATGGTCTTGGCTGCCCCCATCTCAGCTGGAAATGAGGCCTGTAGTGTGGGGTCCCCCCTCATTTGCTGCTTCAGTGGTTTTCAAACTTCCCTTTAGCCAGGGATCCCTTTTCCAGGTGACAGCTAATGTGGAAGCAGTGTATGAGGCAAGCAGTGCCAAGCCTCCCTGGCACAGTGCCTCCCACTCCTGGATACCCCCAGAATGCTCAGCACTCTGCAGAGCACAGCTAGAGCTGCTCTGGATTGGGGGCTGCTTGACCACAAAGGAGGCTGGGCTGGGACTGGTGGGCGAGGGTGGGTTGGGGGCTCTTGCTTCTTGGTGACAGTTGGCCAGAAGCCTCTACGCTTAGATTTTTTTTACTTTCTTAACAACAATAAAAATTTGGCTTGATCTGTTTTTCAACCTGGGGTATTACTGCTTTTGGAAAAGGTAAAATGATCCCATCCTGTGGTAACAAGTCGTGCTGCACTTCCAGCATGGGTGTGTCACCCTCACGTGCCAGGCTGACCATATTTATTGCACCTGGGAGTCTGAGCCAGGGCCTCCACCTGACCTGCGGTGCAGAATGGCACAAGTCGGCTGGCTCAGGCCTGTCTGCTTGCCGCAGACCCATCACCGCTGCCCTTTTCCATCCTTCTAGGTACAGTCCTGCTGGTACATGGGGTGGGTACATGCTGCTGTGGACAGACAGGGCGCCAGTAGAGGGAGACCAGAGGCTCAGAGCCCTGCGATTTAGCACCCTCACAATCATGTCACATTGTTTTTTCAGAGGACACTTGTCGAGTGGTTCCTATTGTTAGGCCTAGTTTTAAGGGCCAGAGAAAGAAAACATTCCCCAACTAGTAGGGTGAATTGCAGAGAAGTAAACATTCAGAGCCCAGGTCCCAAGTGCAAGGATGGAGCTTTGTGGGAGCAGAGAGGAGCTGACAGCCTGGTGGGAGGCAAGTGTGACAATGCGGTTTCAGTCGTGAATTACCTGATCCGTTAGTCCTGGCTACCTGGATTTGCGATGTCTTGAGTAAAAATACGAGGCATCACCTGGCTCTTGGGGGAAGGATGCCATGATCTACTAGTTGCAGAAGAGGTGACCCTGGAGCTGGGTGTTGACAGAGGTAAAGGAGGTTGCCAAGCAGAGGGAGGGAAGAGTGACTGCAGGCAGAAGAAACAGTATGAGCCAAGTCAGAACAGTGCTAGTGAAGCAGCTAGCACCTAGAGTTCATTGGGGAAAGTGGCAGAGTTGGAACAGGAACTTGCAGGTTGTGTGGGAGCCTGTGTGGCAGCGTGATGAGGCATTTGGCCTCCGTATCCTGGGTGATGGGGAGGCATTGAAAAGATTGGGGATGGGGATGAGCTGGTTAAAGCTGCTTCATAGAGAATGGTGCCAGGCATGGGAGCCAACCAGGAGGCCATCGTAACATCCAGGGAGAGGGAAAAGGAGGCAGGAAGACCAGACTGCCTGATTTCCTGGGCTGGGAGCTCTCAGCTACACGCGGGGCCTCCCATTGGCAGTCCATTGCCTGCTGACCTGACCTATGACATCAGGCAGGACTCTCCCTCTCAGAGCCTTAGTTTCCCCATCCCCTAAAGGAGGAATTGGTCTTCTGGGTCCAAACTTGTAGAATTGGTGGGTTCTGGTTTCCACCCCAGGGCCCTCCTGTCCCTAGGTGCTGTCAGCCCCAGCCAGAAGGCCAAGAAAACCCCAAGCAAGGCTGTAGCAGGGATGGAGCCCTGCCGACCTGGGTGCACTTTCCACTTGACTCTTACTTGCTGTGTAAAAGCAAAAAACAAAACCACCACAAAACAAAAAAGCCAGTTGCCGTTGAGTTGATTCTGACTGATGGTGACCTGACCCCGTAAGTGTCAGAGCAGAACTGCTCCATGGGGTTTTCAAGGCTATGACTTTTTGAAAGCAGATTCTTCTGAGACACCTCTGGGTGGGGTCAAACCACCAGCCTTTCGGTTGGTAGTCAAGTACTTAACTGTACCACCCAGGGACTCCACTTGCTGTGGACAGGTTGCAAAACCTCTCTGAAACTGAGCCTCCTCAGCTGTGAAGTGGACAATAACCGACCCTACCTGTCAGGGTTCTTACTCTTGGTGCATTATAACTGCTCACTGAATGGTAACGGAGGTAGTCTCACAAGCTAAGAGATGACTAGTGGTTCTCAAGCCTGGCTGGGGGTTGAGTCACCTGATTCCGGGACGCCACTCTGAGACAGTGACCAGTGCATCGGGTGGGCCTGTGAATCTGGGTCTTTAAACAAGATCCTCTCCAGGGTATTCTGAGGCCCAGCCAGGTTTGGGGGCAATGGATAGTCTTCACTCATTTTATAGCTAAGGAAACTGAGGCCCAGGTAGGGGAACACTCCCAAACTAGGCCTCCTGATTCCTAGTCTGTTCCCAAGAAGACCTAAAGGTTTGGTTCACAATCTCTCAAGGCATCTCCACAGAAGGCATAGTTGTTGAATTCTGGTCTCCTTCCTTTGGCTCCTGCTGATCTGGAGTTAGTCCTTGCAGGGAAGGAGGGAGGTCCTGCCCTGCTGGATTACCAATGCGGCACTCACCTGGCTCCGAGGCCTTCGAGGCTTATTGGAGCCCAGGAGAGGGCTGACCTCTACCAACAGCAGCCAGGGCTGAACATTCTCTGGAATTCAGAGGCCTTGTTCTCCCAGCTCCCCTCAGCATGTTCCTGTAAGAGGTGCAAAGGCAGAGGCGAGGAGCCCCCATCACCCAGGCAAGGAACCACACACGGATCACCAGCTGGGGTGCCTGGGAGACATCTGAGATGCTGCTGGGGTGAGGAAGCAGGGTCCCAGCGGCTGGGGGTTAATCCCCCTTCCCTGGTCCCAGCTGTGGAGTCCCTAGGTGGTACAAACGGTTAAAGTGCTCATCTGCTAATGGAAAGGTTGGTAGTTCAAGTCCACCCAGAAGAAAGGCCTGGCAATCTACTTCTGAAAAATCAGCCATTGAAAACTCTGTTCTACTGCGACACGCATGGGTCACCATGAGTCAAACTGACTTAATAGCAACTGGTTTCGAGGTGGTGGTGGTGTTTTTTGGTCAGGCCGAAGCTGCACCCCAGTCCCAGGCTTCTCACTTCACTTCATTTGGGCTCCCCTGGGTCAGATGCCCCTGTCCCCACACTCTGGGAGGGACAGCGGGCCCTGTCTTTCAGGAACAGCAACCCTCTCCTCACGTCTGTGCTCTGTCGCCAGCACCCCGATCTGGGCTTTCCTTCTCTGCCCAGTGCCAGGCATGGGAGGGAGAAGGGCTGATGCTGGTGCCCTGGCTGGGAGAGCAAGTCCATCCACACCTTCCTGGGGACCCTAGTCACCATCTCTAGGACACCAAACACTCACGTGTCCCTCATCTCAGCCTTTCAATGATGCTGCAATGTAGAGGACGTGTCAAGTTGACATACAGGGCAACAGAGGCTTGGAGAAGTGAAAGGCTTGCCCCGGGTCCAGGGCTTGTCTCATTCCCTCAGACTCTAGGGTTCCAGAGGATGGCCCTGAGGAGCCTCCTGGGAGTGGGGAGGGGGACAGGCAGTAGACCCTGGGGCTGCTGCTGCCCCTCGGTACTCTGAGTGCTGAGGGCCCAACTCCCTGGCAGACCGAGCATGGGACAGGGAGCTTCTGCTCTGTGACCTTGAGCAAGGTTCTGCAGGCAGGTCGCTGGCTCTGGGTGTCCTTGCTGACCCATGGGAGACCAGTTCCCTCCGGCCACGCAGGGCATTATGAAGGCCAGCATTGTAAGCTGTCAGGCGCCACAAACAGGTAGTGTGTAGCTATCACACCACAGCTCCAAGGGGAGGTGGGGATTCGACTCCTGCAGGGCCATTAGAAAGACAGTCCTTATCTCTGAGGGCAGTGAGGACCAGAGGAGAACATGCACATAAACCACCTAGCCCAGCGCCAGCCACAGAGGAGACAATCCATGCCACCTCTTCTCCCTTGGCACACCAGCTCTCCCCGCCCCGCCGCTTCCCCAGAGGGACCCGAGATGACGAGGCCAGCCCCTCCCCCAGCGGGAACCGCCCAAGGGGGCTTGCTCGCTGGTCCCCAGAAAGCCAAGTGTCAGTCGTGGCCGCTGGGCGCTGGCGACAGGAAGGGCTGGCCCAGAGGGGCTGGGGACGCTTAATCTGGGATGAGCCCAGGGAGCCTCCGGGTTGGTGGCAGAACACCACCCCATCCCTGGGGCTGCCTCCGCCCCTTGGCCTGCCCTTCCCTTTGATGTGCGGATGGCGGTGGAGGTGGGGACGCCTTTCTGCCCTGGCCGCTGGCTTCTCACAAGGGAGAGAGGCTTGGAGGGAAGAGGGCTGGTGGGGCCCGTGAAGCCAGGAGGCAGGGCTAACATGATAACACAATACATGGGGTCACCATGAATGCGGGGGGGCAACATACGGCAGCCAATAACAACTCATAGAGGTCTGGCCTTGTGCTGAGTGCTATAGCTCCTTAAATCCACACACCAACCCTATTGTGCAGATGAGGAAACAACGCGGGCTTGAGGGTGTTTAAGTAAGTTGCCCAAGGAAACAGTGGTTGAGTTGGGATATGAAGCCAGGCCTACTGGACTCCAAGCTTGCTGTGGGTGTCAGTTGGAGGTAACACCCACCTGTGGTGTCTGTCCCTCCTTCCCTCCCACCAGCCTTGGAGGTTCAGCTGGGCCTTGTCAGACTGAGACCTTGTCAGGTGAGCCTCCTACAACCTGGCTCCATTCGCCAAGAGATGCCTACTGTAATGGTTAAGATTGTGTGTCACCTTGGCTGGGCCAAGATTCTCAATCGTTTGGTGGTTATGATGTAGTTTGGCAGTTTCGTAAACATGTAATTTGACAGTTATGTAATGATGTAATTAACTCTGTGATAAGAGCTGCTGTGAACAGCCAATCAGTTGAAAGGAAGTTTCCTTCGGGGTGTGGCCTGCCTCTAGTATATAAATGGATGTTCCAACAAGGCTCTTGTTTTGGATCCTGTATCCAGCTCATTATCATCTGACCTCCAGTTCTTGGGACCTGAGCTAGGAAAACTTGGGATTCATCAGCCTCCACAGGCAGTTAGCTAGCGGCCTGCCATCTTACCTGCCAATCTTGGGACTCATTGGCCTCCAAAGCCTATGAGCCAGTGGCCGGCTGTCTGACCTGCTGATCTTGAGTTCATCAGCTTCTGCGGCTATGTGAGTCCGGAGAAGCCTCCGGCCTGACACCTGACCCATGAACTTGGGATTTGCCAGCCTCTACAACTGTGTGAGCCATTTCCTTGAGATAAATCTCTCTCTCAAAGTGTATGTATATATATATATATGTGTGTGTACGTGTGTGTGTCTGTGTGTGCGTGTGTGTGTGTGTGTGTGTGTGTGTATGTATATGCGTCACTGGTTTTGCTTCTCTAGAGAACTCTGCCTAAGACACCCACCAAGACCAGAGTATGCCTATGGAGCTATGTGGGCCCCAGGCCTTCTCCTCAGAGTTGGTCAGGGCAGCTTTGACCCTGACTGCCAGTGGGCTGCGCATGGTGATCTGGAGGGTATGGCCCCCATTTCGTGAGCCTGGAAAATCTGTCTCCACCCTTCAGCTCACCTGCCTGTCACCCTCAGTACCACGCATCCCTGTATGCTACTCTTGAAAACAACCACTTCACATTTTATAAACTGATATCCCACAGATCCACCATGGATCCTGGAAGCTAGGCCCATGAGTGGTCACACCAGGCCTCGGACCCAGGGTCACTGCCTTTACTCAACTGACCCCTCCCTCTCGGGTGCTGGCTGCAGTGCAGGGAGGGGGCCCAGCCATCACCTTGTTCCCTCACCTCAATGTTAGGGTGACGCAAACCCAGCTTCTCTCCTGACTTCCGGAAAGGCACTCCCTCCACTCTGCCAGGACCTGCTCTGTGCCTGGCACCATGCCAGCCCTCCTTGGCACCCACGCTCCCTGTCTCCTTGGCTCCCCAGTGCCCTGTGCCTCTAGCCCGAAGTGGGAACTTGGATGAAATGAGCACTGCAGGCAGACACCTCCGCCCGGGCGTTCTGTAGGAAGGGCCAGCGGGCTGCACACCTCTCCCCTCCTATACTCTTGGGGGTCCTTGACCCCCACAGTCCTTCCCATGCACCCGAGGTTCCCTCCATCCCAGCCTCCCCAGCTAATAGCAGACCCATTCCTGCGTAAGTTTAGTAATGAGCCTAGAACCTCATCTAGAAATCCTTTATTTACATTTTCTCCTGGAAAAAAACAATACAGATCTGGCGCCCTGTGGATTCCTCAGGTTCTGGGGTGTTTACGGGAAGGTGAGAGAAGGTGCACCCCCCCACCCCAACCAAGGCCATCTATTGTGTCCATCAAGGGCTTCTGTTCACCTAGCCCTAGAGCTGGGCTTCCCTGAGATCAGCTGTAGGGCCCTGGACATCGGGCCGCCACGGCAGAGCTGGGGTGGGGTTGGTGTGAGGGGCAGGGCCTGGGAGGTGCTCAAACAGCCTGGCCACCAGGAGCTCCACTGGCGGAGTGGAGAGAATGTGAGCCCAGGACTTTGTCCTTGAGGGGAGGACACTGGTGGCTCAGGCTCTGGGAATAGGGGGTCCTGCCACAGGCTGCTGGGACAGGCACACATGGGCATCTTGCATGGGGGCCAGGTAACTTGAAGGATCAGGAAACTATGCTGTTTTCTGTGAACCACCTGAGCACCTCCTCCTTGTTCTGGTTCACCCATTTGATGTTGGCTTTCGTCTTCTCCAGGGCTTGCTCCAGGGCCCGGGTGCCTGAGCCAAAGCCAGTGTCCATGTTGTCCTGTTTGAACTGTTCCAGCTGCCGGGAGAACAGAGATTCTCAGCCCGAGGTTGGGTCTCTAACACAGCCTAGAGCAGAGGCTCTCTCTAGGCCCATTCCTTAAGAGCCCCCAAGGACAGAGACTGCAGCCTGTTCCCCTGAAAGGAGGGTCCGGTTTTCCACTTCTCTCTAGGTTAAAACCCTTATCTATGGAAGTGAAGCCAGTTGCCTTTAGGTCCATTCTGACTCATGGTGACCCCATATGTGTTAGAGTAGAACTGAGCTCCATAGGGTTTTCAAGGCTGTGACCTTATGGAAGCAGATGGCCAGGCCTTTCTTCTGAGGTGCCTCTGGGTGAGTTCTAACCACCAGCCTTTTGGTTAGTAGTCGAGTGCTTAACTGTTTGTACCACCCAGGGACTCCATGGCAGAGGCTGGGAAATAACGGCCCTGCACTAAATCTGGCTCACACACGTAGCTGACCTTCGTTGTGTGACTCCTCATTGAATTGATTCTCCGTTTTTAATTGAATTACAATCTCAATCCAATCAAGAGAAGACACTTTAAACAGATGCCATAAGGAAGCAATCAGCCAAATCCAAAACGTGGAAAATTTTATACAGGCAGTTCCTGGATTACAAACGAGTTCCTTTCTTAAATCTTTGTTTAAATCGAATTTGTATGTAAACCAGAACAGTTAGGTACGGTTCATATCTAACATCAGTTAGTCAAATGTTTGTCTTAGTATATAGTATATAGTGTACATTTCTATGCATAAAAAATATTAAAGAAACACTTTCAGATACACTAAAACACCTTTAACATTAATAATTCAGTAATAATAATAATAATGTTCTGATGTGCATCGGCAAAGTAGCATTCGTTTGTTATTATGAACCATTGTATGTACCTCAAATTTTTAATATAAAATGCTTTACGAGGGTTGGTTCATAACTATGGGTTGTATGTAAGTCAGATGTTCATAACCCAGGGACTGCCTATACTGCAAATGACCCAGTTGTCCCATCAACATATAAATGCTATTTTTTTAAAAATGAGGGAGACTGTTACAGATGAAAAGACCTATTAGTATGGGGGGTTCTAGTCAGGGCTATTAAGCAAGAATATGAAATAAAAGGTATCTAGATTGGAAAGAAAGAAGTAAAACTATCTCTGTTTGCAAATGATATGATCTTGCATATAGAAAATCTTAAGGAATCCACAAAGAAACTATTAGAGCTAATAAACAAGTTCAGCAAGTTTGCAGAAACAAGAGATATACAAAAATCAGCTGTATTTCTGCATACTAACAATGAAAAATCCAAAAATGAAATTAAGAAAATAATTCCATTTACAATAGCACCAAAAAAGATAAAATACTTAGAAATAAATTTAACAAAAGAAGTGCAAGACCGTTATGCTGAAAACTACTAAACATTGTTGAAATAAATTAAATACCTAAATAAGACATCCATGCTCTTGGGTTGGAAGATTTAATATTGTTAATACGGTAATACTCCCCAAATTGATCTACAGATTCAATGCCATCTCTATCAAAATTCCAAGTGCCCTTTTTTGCAGAAATTGACAAGCTGACCCTAAAATTCACATGGAAATGCAAGGGACCCAGAATAGAAAAAGAACAAAGTTGGAGGACTTACACTTCCCAATTTCAAAACTTGCTACAAAGCTATAATAATCAAGGTTGTGTGGTATTGGCATAAGGATAGACATACGGATCAATGGAATAGACTTGAGAGTCCAGAAATAAACCCACACATGTATGGGCAATTGATTTTTGACAAGGGTGCCAAGTTCATTCAATGGGGGAAAGAGTAGTCTTTTCAATAAATGGTGCTGGGACAACTGGATAGCCACATACAAAAGAATGAAGTTGGACCCCTACCTCACACCATTTACAAAAATTAACTCAAAATGGATCAAAGAATTAAATGTAAGGGCTAAAACTATAAAATTCTTAGAAGAAAACATAGGGTAAATCTGCACGACCTTGGATTTGGCAAGTGGTTAAGAGCTCTCAGGCTGCTAACCAAAAGGTCAGCAGTTCAAATTCACCAGCCACTCCTTGGAAGCCCTATGGGGCAGTTCTACTCTATCCTATAGGCTTGCCATAAGTCAGAATAAACTCTATGGCAACAGGTTTGGTTTGGTATTGGTTTTCTTAGCTGTGACACCAAAAGCACAGCAATCAAAGAATAGATAAATCGGACTTCATCAAAATTAAAAACTTTTGTGCATCAAAGAACACTTTAAAGAGAGTAAAAAGACAACCCAAAGAATGGAAAAAAAATATTTTCAAACCATATGTCTGATAAGGACTTAATATCTAGAATATATAAGAACTCTTGTAACTCAACAACAAAAAGAAAATCCAATTTAAAAATGGGTAACAGACTTGAATAGATATTACTCCAAAGAAGATATATAAATGGCTAACAAGCACAAGAAAAGATGCTCAACATTGTTAGTCATTAAAAAACAAAAGCCAAACCTGTTGCCATTGAGTCAATTCCAACTCATAACTACCCTATAGGACAGAGTAGAACTACCCCCATAGGATTTCCAAGGAGCGGCTGGTGAATTCGAATGGCCAACCTTTTGATTAGCAGCCGAGCTCTTAACCACTTTGCCACCAGGGCTCCTCGTTAGTCACTAGGGAAGTGCAAATCAAAATTACAATGAGATACCACTTCACATCCACTTGGGTGGTTATAATAAAAAAAAGAAAATAACAAATGTTGGCAAGGATGTACAGAAATTGGAACCTTCCTACATTGCTGGTGGGAATGTAAAATGATGCAGCTGCCATGGAAAACAGTTTAGTGGTTCCTCAAAAAATTAAACATAGAACTACCATGTTATTGTTGCTGTGTGCCATCGAGTCGATTGCCACTCTTGGTGACCCTATATGACAGAGTAGAACTGCCCCATAGTTCTCTAGGCTGTAATGTTTATGGGAGCAGATCGCCAGGTCTTTTCTCCCACCAAACATTTGTGTACAGTTTCCACTCCTATGTATATACCCAAAAGACTTGAAAACATATAGTCACCCAAAAACCATACACAAATATTCATTGTAGCATTATTCACGCTAGCCAAAAGGTAGAAACAACCCAAATGTTCATCAACAGATGAATGTATAGGCAAAATGTAGCATAGTCATACAATGGAACATTATTAGACAATAATAAGGAATAAAGTACTGATTCACCGTACAACATGGGTGAACCTTGAAAACATTATGCTCAGTGAAAGAAGTCAGACACAAAAGGCCACATACTATATGATTCTATTTATATGAAATGTCCAGAATAGGCAAATCCATAGATGCTGAAAATAGATTAATGGTTGCCAGGGGCTAGGGAGAGGGAGGCGTAAGGAGCGCCTACTAATGGGTACAGAGTTTCTGTTGGGGATGATAAAAACGTTTTGGAATTAGTGGCAATGGTTGTACAACCTTGTGAATATACTAAAAACCATCAAATTGTACACTTTTTATATGGTAAATCTGATGGTATGTGAATTATATCTCAGTTAAAAAAAACAGGCAAATCAACTGAATGCAACGAGTTGACTTTGCCTTCTGATTCAAATGTATCAATTGCAAAAGACTTTTTTTTTAAACAGCTTAGAAAATTTGAACATAGCCTGGGTGTAAGAAGATAGGAATTATTATTTTCTTGGATTTGATAATGGCAATGTAATTATGTTAAAGAAATTCCTTTATTTTAGAATGACTAAAGTATTTACAGATGAAATTACATAATATCAGTAATTTGCTTTAAAATTGTTCACCCCCAAAAAGCACTGGCAAAATGTTGATAACTGTTGAACCTGGGTACATGGAGGTTCATTATATTACTCTCTTTGCTTTTGTGCCTATACAAAAATTCCCAAGATTATTATTATTTTTTACAATGAATTGTCCACATCTTAAAAATCTGGGTTCCCAGCTTCTCCTGTGAATTCGGAAGGCCTGGCAACTGAGGCCCATGTTCCCTCATGGCCACACTCAGTGGGAGCTAATTGGCAGCCGCACTTTTAGGCTGGGAACAGACCTTTGGTTGCCCAGTCCCCACCGCGCCAGCCCCAGGGTCCAGGGTTGGGGACAGCTTCTTACCTGCTGCAGCTCATACTCAGTGGAGAATCGTCGGGTCACTGTCTGGATGAGGTTGGAGAAGGAGAAGGAGCCACCACCATAACTGCAGGGTGAAGACAGAGGAGATGAGTGTGAAGGGCTGGGGACTAATGCCCAAGGACACGCCCAAGGTCATACCACTAGAACGTGGGAGAGCCGGGACTTGAACACAAGCCTGAACACAGAGTCCCTTACTCCCACCCTTTCCTGGAAGACGCTCCCATCAGCCATACTTTCTGTTCACCCTCCCCCTCTGTGGTGTCCCTTGCACACAGACCGCCCCCAAGGCTCCTCAGCCTGGGCCCTCTCCTCCTGACACCCTCTCCACAGACTCACTCCTCAAAAAGCTTCTTCCAGTTACTCCGGATGAAGTCCCAGACCAGAGTTTGTCCGACGGCATTGCTGGCGATGCTGTTGATGGTGGAGGTGGCATCCTGCTTCCGGATGAGATCAGGGTTTAGGGTATAACTCAGGTACCTGTGAGGGCAGGATGCAAAGTTAGCAACCACGGCGAGGGGCTGCAGCCAGAAGATTCAAGAGAGAAGCCAGAGCGAGCCGCATACATCACCTCCTCCCGCATTACCTCAACAATCCCTTGGCGGGCTGAGGGTTGAGGGGCCACCCGGGCCTGTCTCCCTGTGGTAGATGGAAAACTGAGCCCTCTGAGCAGGGTAACTGGCTATGCCAGATGCTGTGCTTGACATGGAGCTGGTGCCAAATATATATATATATATATTTTTTTTTTTTTTGGTATCTTTTGTTGCAGTAAAATTAAAAAACCTAAAATTTTCCATTTTAGCCATTTCAAGTGTATATTCCAATGGCATTAATTACACCCACAATGTTGTACAACCATCAGCTCTATTTGTTTTCAAAACTTTTTTATCACCCTAAACAGAAACTCTGTACCCATTATGCCACTAACCGCCCCCTCCATCCTCAGCCCACAATACCCTCTAATTCACTTTGATCTCTATGAATTTGTCTATGCTTTCTACATATTTTATATAAATGAGATCATATAATATTGGTGGTGCATCAGTTAAGTGCTTGGCTGCTAACTGAAAAGTTGGTAGTTTGAACCCACCAAGGGAGAAAAGACCTGGTGATCTGCTTCTGTGAAAATTACAGCCTAGGAAACCCTATGGGGCAGTTCTATTCCATCACATTGGGTTGCTATGATTCAGAATCAACTTGATAGCACCTAACAACAACGTAATATTTGTCTTTTTGTGCCTGGCTTCTTTCACTCAATATAATGTTTTTAAGGTTCATCAAGTCGTAGCATGTATCAGGACTTCATTCCTTGTTAATGTCTAATCTTATTCCATTGTATGGATAGACTACATTTATGTTTATCCATTCATCTGTTGATGGACACTTGGATTGCTTCCCCATTTGGCTGTTGTGAATAGTGCTGCAATGAACATTCATGTACCAGCATCTGTCTGAGTCCCTGCTTTCAAGTCTTTTGGATGTATATCCAGGAGTGGAATTATTAGGCCAATAAATATTTGAAGACGAAGGAAGGAAGAGAAGGAGGGAAGGAGGGAAGGAGGAAGGAAGAAAGGACTAGTTTCAAGCCCTGGCACCAGGTATGGTGGCCACTGCTGTCCTTGACTTTGAGGGTGGCTCTTCTCTACTGAGGTCCAGCTGATGGCATATGAGATACAAAGTGGGAGCTAGAGGCCCTCGTCCAAGGGCTTGGGGGTTGCCAGGCTGGAGTCCAGAAAGACTCATGTCCAGCTGCTCCAGAGCCCTTGACAGAGAAGGCAACAAAGTTGCCATCAGGCGAAGGTTAAGAGGGCCATAGCAGCTAAAAGCACAAGACCTGGAGCCAGATGTGGGTGCGAATCTTGGCTCTAGTACTTATTAAAGCTTCTAGACCTTGAGTAAATTGCCTTGCTTCTCTGAACCTCAGTATCCTCATCTGTAAAACTGGGACAATACTGCCCACACCTCTCAGGTTTGTGAGGATTGCATGAACGAGTGTGTGGAGGCCTGACAGGTTCTCCCCCACATAGGGATCCTGATCTCTGGTGGGGAGGGGGGCTCACCCAGCCCTGTCCTGCCCTGGTCCTCACCTGTTCAGGATCCACACCTCCTTGCTGCAGGCCAGGGCTGAGCGGAGTTTGTCAGCCTCATTCACCAGTGTGGCCTTTTGGAACTGTTCCCAGGCAAAGTTCCACTTCTCCTCCCCACCCTGGGCAATGGCATTGCAGTAGATCGTTGACCGCAGGTTGGGGTGGATCCTGGATGAGGAGGGGGAGTCAGGGTCAGAGCAGCAGCTGGGAGGGTTGGGCCAAGGACAAGGCTGTGGGCTCCCAGATTCCGCTTGAGGGACAGGTGAAGCCTGGAGGAGGAGGAGGAGCAGGGACAGACTCACGTGTTGTTATCAGGATGGCTCATCCACTCAGTGAAGAGATTCAAGGCCAGCTCCCCACACTCCTTAATTTCATTGGTGCAGGCAGTGCTAATGGCATTAATCTCATTGTACCTGCCCCAGGGAGGACATGTGGTCAGCACACCTAACACAAAACTACAGGCAGAGGGAGATGGGCTGCAGCCCACCTGGCCTTGTGGGCTCCCACTATTTGCTTCATGCCCTGAGCCTGAGCTTCCTTGGTCCCCTAAGCCGTCCTGGGACCCAGAGGGGCCGGCACAGGCTTCAGTCCCAGCATCAACACATTTAGTTGTTGACATCAAACCAGTGAGGTGACCTTGAAGTTTCAGTTGTGTCCTTCGTATAAAGTCGTTAGATGGGCCCACAGACTATACAGAGCCTCATGGCGGAGCCCCTAGTCCTGGGTAGGTATCTCTCCTGTCCATTGTCCCCCGCCCTGGCCAGGAGTTGGGAGTTCCAAAGGAGAACACTGTTTGGGAGTTGCTCTGGACTGCCCAGGTTGGGGTGGCTGGGCTACCAGGACCTCCAGACCCAGGGGAGGTCACACTCACTGCTCCATCAGGGTTTGGGGGCGCTCCACCCAGTTTTTGGTGACATTTTTGAAGTAATCGAAGAGGGGTTGGACCTGCCGCCTCAGGTATCTCTGTGGGAAAGAACACACAATAGTTTCAAAGGGAGGATGCATGCCTGATCTGACTGAAGCCCCATGGAGCCTCTGACGCAGGTGGGCAGGCGCCAGCAAGGAGAAAACAAGGTCAGAAGTTCAGGAGCTCCCCCGTGGCCAAAGAGTGCTCGGAGGGGCCAGGGCAAGTCTAGGTTCCAAATGACTGCTCTGAGGTTCCTTCCCACCAAAGCCTCAGTTGTCTGAACATTCCATGTCTAAGGGTCGTCACTTCCTAAGAGAAAGTGTTGGGTTCCCCCTCCCGCCCCGATCATCAGTATTCCAGGCTTATTGTGGGAAATTTAGAAAACACAGAAAATCACATGCAGAAAATAAAAACCACCGAGGACCTTACCTGATCCATCACTTCCTTTTCTCTTTTCTACGCTTTTTTCTTATTTACTTGGCGTAGCTACAATTCTGCATGCTGCTGCTCTTTTTCACTTAAAGTGTCACATAAGCCCTGCCTAATATTTTAAAATCCTTTGCAGACTCTGGTTCAACATGACAGGTGGACATTTGTGCCCATCTGAGGCCATAGCCAAATGTAAAAGGAGTAAACCCCTAAGAACAAAGCGACTAGGCAAGAAAGCAGCAGCGGCCAAGATGGCATTAACACTGTGTTTAGGCAGCTGGAAAGTGGAAAGAGGGAGATGTAAGGGACTCAGCAGAGGGGGAGAATCTGCACCAGTGCCCTGCAGAGGAGGAGATGCTGATGGGAAGCCTGAGGACTGGCCATGAAGAGCCCTAGATAGGCTCAGGATTTAGAGGGACAGCCTTCAGGAGGCAAGGGGGAGGTAGGGGCTGCAAACAGGAGGATGGAGTCGAAGTCTGTAGAAGGAGTAATTGAATCTCCAAGTCCCTACTCCTGCCTCTGGCAGTAGGTAATGCCCCTCTGTCCCCATGGGAGAAAATGAATCAGAAAGGCTCAGGTCCTGGGGTCACCAGACACAGTGGGGGCCAAGGAGGTTGCTAGATGGCAAAGAGGGTCAGAGGTGAAAATTTACGTGCTGAATGGTGGTATCCCAGCTCCCTTCCCCGCTCTGATCCCACAGTGAGCATCACCACCCTCACGGCATAAGATGGGAGGCTCATTCTTTGCAGAAGGTGAATGACCTCAAAAGAAAACACCTATGGGGACTAATTTTGGGGATCTCTCAATGAACAGCTACTTGGCCACCTAGTCACTCTATAGTGAGACCCCCAGATGACAAACTCCACCCTCTCCATGGAGTTTTCAATCACTTTTCACTGCTTTACTCTCAAATTCAAAGAGGCAGCTTAGCCTCCAATGTGAAAGGGGAGATCAAAACAAAGAGAAAACTCAGTGGAAAGTCAAGAGAAGAAAAAGAAACCCTGGTAAAAGCCTATAGTAAATATATGCAGAGAGTTAAGAAAAGATGTTGCATAGGATGCTGGAACCAGAAAGAGCACTTGGAAATTGAAAAATGTGATACAAGAAATGAAAACAATCTCTAGAGAAGCGGTGAAGTATAAAGCCGAGGGAATCTCCCCAAAAGCAGAACCTAAAGTCAACAAGATAGAAAATAGGAGAGAAGAGGAAAGAAAACTGGAGGATCAATGCAGAAGAAGCAAACTGGATTAACAGGAGCTCCAGAAAGGAGGGGAAGAAAGCTTCATAGAAATAATGCCCGCCCCGCAAAAGTCCTAATTCATCCAGACTGAAAGGGTAGGAGGATGAAAAAGCCCGCCAGGATCAGAGAAGAGTCCAAAGTTTCCAGAAGAAGAAAAAACAGGCCACATTCAAAGTGAGAAAGGCTCTGAGCTTCTCAATAGCAACACAAGAAGAATGATATCAGTAGAGCAAGACCTTAAACATTCTGAGAATAATTTCCAACCTAGAAGTTTCTAAACCCGGACAAACTAGCACTCACGTGTGAAGGTGGAATGAAGACATTTCAGACATGCAAGGCCTCAGAAAATCTATCTCTCATGCACCCTTTCTCAAAAACTCCTGGAAGCTATGCTCCAATTACAAGAGAGAAAAATCAAGGAAGAATCCAAGGAATCCAGGAAACAGTAGATGCAACATTGGATAAAGGCCTCCCAGCACAGGAGCTGGGCAGCAGTTCTAGAGGGGAGCCTGCAGGACAGAGGGCTCCAGGAGGATGTCTCCAGGGAAAAAATGAAATTGATCTATTATCTGATACATTTGTACAAGATGTACAAAAAAGGAAACACAAACATAGTAACTATGTGGCTCAGCAGAGAAAATGTTTAAATAATCACAATAAAGTAGATGCTGAATAGTGATTTGACCAAACATTGTGATTGAACTGTATTAGGAGGATGGGAAGAATTGGAGGTTGTAAGAGAGTTAAAACTTTACCGTAATAGAAAGTTAACAGATAATGTAAAAAATAGTAATAATAAAAACCTTTCTCCTTTGCCGTGAGACCGGAAGAACTGGATGGTTCCCAGCTACCATTACCGAACATTTTGTTTGTTTTTGTTTATTGCTGTAGTTTAAGTGAAAGTTTACATTTCAAGTTAGTCTCATACAAAAATTTATGCATACATTGTTATGTGACCCTAATTGCTCTCCCTGTACTGTGACAGCACTCTCCTCCTTTCCACCCCGGATTTCCCATGTCTATTGAACCAGCTCCTGACCCTCTCTGCCTTCTCATCTCACCTCCGGACAGAAGCTGCCCATTTAGTCTCATGTATCTACTTGAGCTAAGAAGCACACTCTTCACAAGTATCATTTTATGTCCCACAGTCCAGTCCAATCTTTGTCTGAAGAGTTGGCCTCAGGAATTGTTTTAGTTCTGGGTTGACAGAGAGTCCGGGGGTTGTACTTTCTAGGGTTCTTCCAGTCTCAGTCAGATCATTAAGTCTGGTCTTTTTATTAGAATCTGAGTTCTGCACCCCTCCTTTCTCCTCCTCCATCAGGGACTCTCTTTTGTGCTCCCTGTCAGAGCGCATTACTGAACACTTCGATCAAAGATTCCATAGAAGAATCCTGACCAAAAGGGGAAAAAAAGTTGAACAGAATTTCAAACTTTCATGGAATTCAGACTTTCTGGAGCTACGTAGGCTGGATAAACCCCAAAACTATTCCCCTGAGATAATCTTTAAACTTTAAAGAAGAAATATCCCCTGCAGTCTTCTTTAAACAAAATAATAGTTTAGCTTAATTAGCAAAGAATGTCTGTCTTGAGCATTGTGCTCTTTTAAAGAATTATCTATATGGGATCAAACTGACAATAGCAACTTGAAAGGTCAGATGAGAAGCTTAGTAAACAGTGAGTTTATGTTATTGGTGGAGGAAAAATTTGGAAAAGGACAGTGAGAATGGCTGCACAACTTGAAGAATGGAATGAAGTCACTGAATTGTACGTGTAGAAATTGTTGAATTGGTGTATGTTTTGCCGTATGTATTTTCAACAAAAAATAAAATTTTTTAAAAAAAGAATAAAGCTGTGGAAGAATGTAATTGATGTCACTGAATTGTACATGTAGAAATTTTTGAAATAGTATCTCTTTGGCTATGTATATTTCCACCAAAAAAAAAAAGCCCTCCAAGGTCGAGAAGGGAGAGTGTTGACATGTCATGGGGTTGTTAACCAGTGTCATAAAACAATATGTGTACTGACTGTTTAATGAGAAACTATTTGTTCTGTAAACCTTCACCTAAAGTACAATAAAAAAAAAAAAAGAATAAAGCCGCATAAACAAAAAATACAAAACCTCTTCAAGTATGATCTAAAAGCTACATAATATTCCATCAAATTGATAGTCTACAGTCTACTTAACCAGTCCCCAGCTGTTGGACATTTAAGTGTTTTTGTGGGGTTTTCTATTTTTATTTTTACTTTTTGTCTATTATAAACAACACTGCAGGGAACATCTTTATGGCTCTAGCTTCTTCTTGAGCAAGCTTGAGTTTCCCGTTGGGCTCCCAAATGGGAACCTCAACCCTCAAAGAGGCAGCTATTCCTGAGACCTCAAAAGGAGGTGGAGGGAAGAACACTTCAGGTAGGCTCCTCACCAGTATCCTCCTCCCACCAAGTCTCATCTCAGGGCTACCTGGAGCATTTCACAAATATTTCACCCTGGTGCTCAGCATTAAGATACTTCAAAGCCTATTAATATCAGCGTGTCCCTCACAGCCCAGGAGGGCAGGTTAGGTAGGTATGGGCCCGCTCATTTTACAAAGGAGTTAACTGAGGTCTGAGAAGCTTGTGACAGACAGGTCCTCCAGCATAGTGGCCTTTTCTGTGCCTTCTGAAGGTGCTGATTTCCCATATTTCAGATCAGCAAACTTTGCTAGAAGTCCTAGTGTCTGTTTTTTGCCCCGCCCGACCTCCTCACCTTCTTAGTACCTGGTCCCTTCACCCTGTATCCCTCTTGTTCTCTCTCCCCTCTCCCAGGCCTGCTCTCAGGAAAGGACCTGATTTTGGATCAACTTGGAGGGTTTTACCACCCAAGGATGATTTCTATTAGCTTTCTAAGGGTGCCCTTTCAGGCACTGAGAGGAGTTGGTCTCTGAGCCCTGCGGGCTCCTCCGTACCTGCATGGGGCCATAGACCTCGGAGCGGTCGAACATGAGCTTGAAGTAGTTCAGGCTGCTCAGGGCGGCCTGCCAGGGCATGTACTCTTTCTCTTGGATCAGGAAGAGTGTGTTGTTCAGTGCCAGAGTGACAGGGACTATTTGGGCACTAGGAACAAACAGAGAGGCCCAAGTCAGCACCTCCACCCCGCCCAGTCACACCCAAGAAGCCCCTGCCCAGGCCCTCAAGACTCCTCCTCAGCCCTGGACTCTTTGCCCCATTCTGGAGCCTGAGGTCCCAGAGCCCCAGCTGACCCAGCTCCAGCATTCACCAGGAGGGAATGGAGGACATGGATACTGGGTGGTGTCCCATTTTATAGATGAGAAAACTGAGGCTCAGAGAAGTAAAGTGAATCACTCAAGGCCACAGAGCCAGTGAGAGAGAGCTGAGTTTCAAAAGGACAAAACGCTTGTGCTCTTTGCTCTGCCCAGCCCCCTTCTCTGGCTTGCTCATCCCTCTGAGCCTTCCTCTCTCCTCTTCCTCAGGCTGTCTTTGCACAGTTGCTTCATGAATGTTTGGGTCTGTGGGAGACGTGAGTCATGTCAGAGCTTAGCACCTCTTGGGAACACAGTAGGTGCTCAGTCAATATTTGTTCATCCATGCTGCATCTCTCCTGGCCTGCCCATTCGATTCTCCCAGTACCTGGCAGAGCAGCCTGGCACCCCATAGGCCTTCAGGAAAAGCGTGGTGCCATGGGATACAGAGAGGTTTTGGAGTTGGCCAGTCCTGTGTCTGGCTGTCATGGGCTACTCTGTGACCTCAGACAAGGTACTCTGAATCTCAGTTTGCTCATCTGTGAACTGGGGGTGATCCTGCCACCAATCTTTTGGAGCATGAAGACTCAGGGAGCTGTGTATGGGGGTGAGGGTGATCAGAGGTGTAGTGGGGGGCCAGCAGAGGGGGGCACTTTCCCCGGGGCACAAGTCCAAGTGTGCACCAGACGAGGCGCGGAATGATATCCCGAGGCGCCACAAACCTGAAAGGCACCAGACTGAGGCAGCCAGCC